CTGTCTGATCGGTTCGAAAATCTTTAACTTGGCGTCATTACCATCGGTTCGATTATCAACTGAAGCTTTAGGAAGCTAGCAAGAGAGAGAGAAAGAGAGAGAAAGAAAGAGCTTACCTCTGTGCACTCCTTTATCCTTAATCGGCATCGATGATGGAAATGTCTCGAATCTCGATCGTTTGTTCCTTTTTTTTTTTTGATAGAACTGCCAATGAGCTGAGTTGTAACGACTCGGATCCTAGAACCGTTTGATCGACCGGTGGTAATGCGGATAAAGTGACGGTGGAGTCAAGTGGAGATTCGATGGAAGAGAGAACAGAACGGTTGAAGATTGAGGAGCGGGGGAGGGGAGACGTTCGTTGGAGATCTATCGGTAATTTCATAACGAATTCTTCCGACTCGCAAAAGGGCTATCAAACGAGACTCTAGCCGCCAAGCTAATAATCCAACGATCGAGCGGATTTCTATGGATTTTACGCCTCTCGGCAACGACGCGTTTTACAACTCTGTCGTCGGTTTCACAACCCTCTGAAAACCAATTACTCTGTTGGATTTCAGGCAACAATCGCCAATTCCGCGAGATCAGATTGATTTTACGATTGAGAAACGTTTCGAGCAATACACGGCGAAGGATCATTTCTCGTAGAAGTCGAGAATGTAGGGGAGAAATTGTGTTACGTGTATACGAAACGACATAAACACGTGTGTATGAAATGTAATCATTGAAGAATTGAAAGCAACAATTTTCGAAAATGCAAATAATACAATATTAAATATACAAGGATCGTGTGCAATTATTTAGTTCAAACGAGACAATAGTTACACAAGGGCTTCTGTATTAACCTTTTAAAGTCCAATTTTATTACGATCGAGTTGCATCGTTGAATCTCTATTCTTTTCATCATTTTGGCTGTAAAATACCTTCGAACGTTTCTTTCTCCGGGTTCTATTCGATTTTGTGCAATTTAAAGCAACCGGAGCACAAATCGTCGACTCGATCCTGACTTAATTTTGAATCGTCCGAATTACTTGCAAGCTCTTCGCAAACATTTTTAGAAACTCTCTCGACATCGGCTGAGGAAAACGAACGTCCAAGATTCGAAAAATCGTGTGTCGCTTTCTCCCAAAAAGAAGAGAAACGAAAGAAAAATAAGAAAGAGAGAAAGAAACGGATCAAAGTGCAAGAGGAGTGAGAGGAGTGGCGTTGGGTTCGATTGAAGGATCGATTCGCGAACCATCCAAATCCGGATGATCCGACTGTATGACGTTCGTTTATCCTCTCGACGATAAGCCATGGCCGGGTGTCATCGCAAAAACGACGCCTCCCGAGGTCGTCTGCCCGCGAAGACGTTTTCCTCGGATACCGGTTTCTATCGATATCACCCTTCTTCTCTCCTCTCGCTACAGAAGAAAGAGAGAGAGAGAGAGAGAGGGAGGGAGATACAATCTTTTTGAACGTCACGAAGATTCCTTACCGAAGAACGGTGCAAAAAACCGATTGCTTCGCGGCTGGCAACGATCGATGGGCGTTGATTCATCGCGCTGAATAACCCTGGAAATTGAAAATGATGCGTTGAAAACGAGCTCCGTTCGTCGAGGATTTAAAGCTTCGATTCAACTCCCCCCGTCCCTTCTTTTTCTCTCTCTCTCTCTCTCTTTTTCTCTCCGACTCGCGGGAAAGCGCGGAATTTTTCCTTGGTTTCGATCCGTAATACCGTTATCAAACTGGTAATTACGCCGCTTTGTACGTTTCAGCCGGGGCGATACGCGGGGAAAGCAGTTCGGAACACGATCGGCGCAATAACAGGGGCCGTGAGAGAAGTTCGTTATTGTTTCCTGACGTGAACGAAATAACTGGGATAACGAGACGATGAAATAAATAATTGCGCCATTACGCGCGCCATTGTTGCCCGTATCCGGGGATCATTGTTTCAGGAACAGGAAATTATCGTACACGCTGAATTCGGAATAGTTTGGCGCGTTATTTCGCTCTCGGTGCCGGTTCGCTCAGTCGTCTACGAATATTACACGGTTACAAGTAAGGCACCCGCCGCGCGCGCGCCAACATCTACGTGATGTAATTTTAATTTGAAATTTTCCGACTCGCGCGAAAGGAAAAGCGCGAATTGTTTTCCCGATGTGGCTGAATATTCATGACCGAGGGCGGTCGGAGAGACGCCGCAGTGTCGTACCCGTAGCACGTCCCCTCGAAACACCGTGGCATTTCGATGGCTTCGTAACGGCAACTCGCCATAACACGATAGAGCAACGACTCCCGCGCAACTCCACGCGTATAGAGAATACTGCCCGAAAAGCTGATCCTCTAACTTGAAGCGTTCGCTTCGGGGGATGAAACACACGGCGAGAGAGAAAGAGAGAGAGAGAGAGAGAGAGAGAATCGACGCGATGCTAGTCGGCTAATTGTAAAGCCCATCTCCGATCGGCGCCGGAGTAGAGTTCGATCGACTGCACGGAAGCTCGGTTATTCGCGATACGCTCGATATGTTTATTGCATGATCGTCTTAATTGACCCGCCGGCTTGATCGTTATCGGATTCCTCCATCGGTGTTCCGGGCTTCATGGTGCTCCGTATTACCGAGTTCTTGAAATTGCATTTCATCCCGTTCACATTCTGACGTCTTGTTTCAATCCGACGGACGTTAACTAACCCGTTACGTGGCTCTCTGGACACTTAACTTGGAACTACGGGAACTAAGAGGCAGACGAGGAGGATTTTTCAATCGAATTCACGTTATTTATCTGGACAATTTTTCGTTTTTAATCAACGCAGCCTCTTTGTGAATACCTACGGCCGAGAGAGACAATACTCGAGATCAATCAGCCTTTGTGAATATCTAACGGCGAAGGACGATACTCGAGATCAATAAGTCTTTAATCTGTAGTCTCTGTGAATATCCACGACGAGAGGCAACAGTTGGAATGCGAATAATGGAATGAGTTAGATTCACCGTGCTATGAAATGCGTTCAAACGCATCATATCAAACACACACTCGAACGAATGTTGAATCGTGTCGTGTACGTTATTTGGTTAAACTTACGAGGCCGGTAACATTTTATTGAAACGAAGCACGCGTGGACACGATAACGTTGAATTTTGAGCAGAAACTGAATTTCTCCGTATGTTTGTTGCAACAAACCAATCGCACCGACACTATACTCTGTTGTCTCTCTCGCTGTATCAGCACGCGAATATCTTTCACACGCTCAAAAACGAAAGTCCCTCTATTAAAATTCAATTTCATCTGCAATTTACCCAAAGCCAAAAATTGTGTAACCTCACGCCAGTTTCCATCCGAGTGCCAGTCAATTAATATCGTAATATCGAAAGAGCGGAGGTTGATTCATTTTTCAGAGCGGCGACGGCGGCGGCGGCGGCGGCGGCGGCGGCGGCGGCATCGCCATTCCACGTCATTGGCCAAAATGGTCCGATAGATCTCTCCGTTCACGGCCCAACACCGCCCGATAACATCAAATTCCGCATATTCGATCTAGTCACAAATCAACTTCCGGCAGTTATCTCATTGCACTATCGGTACTTTCGCTATTTACGGAGCAGAGCCAGTTGCCTGTATCGATCACCCATTTGCGCTCCCCCGTTTCATCAGCGAAATTGTATCTCGATTTCCACTTTCGACAACATATTTGCCCTCTCCTGTCCTTCACCTAATTAATTCTTTCGTCTTGATACAAGACCGACAACTTGCTCCGCTCTGCAAACAATACCACGATTCGCCCGTGTAATTGGAAAATTGAAACACGATTAATTGAAACACGACTGTCAAACACGATCAATTTCGATCAATTTAATCTGGAGCCGTTTGGTCTCATTGGCGGATAGAACGAACTCGCCACCTTTGATAAGGCGGATGATTAAAAAAA